TTATTGTATATTTCAGTGTATATATCCTCGCCACTAATTCACATTCAATACGTAAACCGTCTTTTTCAGCTAGTATTCGATACAGCTTAACATAAATGCTGAAAAGAATTGATTTTTTTTTAATTTATTGATAAGTGAAATATTTATTGGTTTGCAGTGTAATTAAAATTGTATCCACTGTAATTTGTCATATACTACAGACCATCTGCTACTATGTAATCAAAACACTGCGACTTAAGGAGCTTGTCAATATAAGCATGGGGTGTATCGACCAAACTGTAATTAGATGTTAATGTTATTTAGTCGCGACTTCTGAGAAATTTACAATCAATATTCAATTATTTCTGTTAATAATGTTTACAAAATGACGAAAAAAAATAACGGTTAGAGTGAGAACAATGAGAATAATGTATTGATTTTGTGTATATAAGCAAGATTTATAGTGTTGAAATTAAACGTGAAAAAGAGAGCCTTTCTAATAGTCTGTTTACCAGGCCCAAAAGATTTTAATGCATTGATACATAAAATATAAATTACAAATACAATCTATATATGCATATACATATTATACCATGTATTCCACAACAAATACTTGCACATTTTACTTCAGAGTAAACGAATTAAAAAAAGAAAATATGAATTCCTCGAGTCTTTTCTTTAAAAATCTTTTGGTTTATTACGATGAAAACTTTATTTTTAACCCCCCCCCAAAAGGGGTAAATTTGGAAAGAAGTCGGTTCCTTTTATCCATAAAATGGCCCTGTAGATATACCAATTAATTGATCAATATTTGATTTTCTGCTTGAAGCATCAAAATAAAATAGAGACTTGGTGCTTTCATATTCTATTAAAAATTTTTTCCTCGAAGTCCAGGTCTTGGAGAAATGGCTTTATGAAATTGTAATGTTCTTGAATTTTTAAGTAAATAGGTATAATTAAGTACCTTCACTGAAGAAAAATAATATGAGCGCACCCTCTGATCTAAAAAATAAAACATGCCCATAAATCCTCAGAAACAGTTCTATCATTTACTAGTTGCATATTTTAGATCAGAGGTTGCGCTCTATTTCAAATATCAAAAAATAACTTTAAAATTGGCCGTTTTTGTAGACTTTTTCGGAATATGAGGAAATTGACGCATTTTGTGACGTCACAATGCATTGACTAGCCAAAAAATGACGTCATTTTTTAGAGGATCGCAGTCACCAAAGATCTAAGTGATATTTTAATGCATTGTTAACTAAAACTATGCAGTTTTAGTTTTTCAGAAATTCACAGGGCCAAATAAGGCGAAAGTGAACCTTGTTCTTTATTAATTTTTGCCTTGTATTCCGAGTATGATTAAATTTGATGTGGGGAAAGGGGGGGGGGGGGGGCTATGCTGATACATGTACAGATACGAGAGTCTATGTGAAATATAAGGATGAGTAGCAATTGCACATGTGTAAATATTTGCAGAGAACGATCAACAGAAATGAATCATTGTTAAATGATGCGATCTTAAGCTTCAGAATGTTTTAAATATCTGCCCAATACTAGTTCTCTGCCCTTTATTCCCGCTTCTGCCGATAGGAATACAAAGTTGACGATGTTTACAATGCCCGCATCTCCACGCTGTCAATGAAACAAATTGGAAAATTCTGATTATGTGTTATTACATAATAAGATACAATAATGATACTTATTCTAAGGTGAACATATGTAAATATTACAAAAATGGTACTTTAATATTCTATTTTTAGGTCACCTGAGTAAACTCAGGTGACCTATTGCTATCCGTTTTCGTCCGTCGTCGTGCGTCGTGCGTCGTTCGTCGTGTGTTAACATTTGAACATTTTCAGCTTCTTCTCTGAAACCACTGAACCAATTTCAACCAAATTTGGCACAAAGCATCTATGGGTGAAGGGGAACAAAAATTGTGAATTTCATGATCCCTGCCCCCCTGGGGCCTGAGGGGTGGGGCCAAAACCACTAAAATTAACGCAATCTTTAAAAATCTTCTTCTTTACTCCTGGACAACAAGCAGGCAAACTGTTTGCATGATTGTAATCAGCAATGAGTCCTCTACCAAAATTGTGAAATTCATGGCCCTAGGGTCAGGGGTTATAGTGCTAGGGCGGGGCTAAATAAGTAGGTAGTGAAAATGCATTATTTCTTTGAAAATCTTCTTCTCTGCTCCTGGGTATTAAATAAACCAACTAAGTACATAGTTATGATGAGCAAGAGTGCCTCTACCAAAATTGTGAATTTTATGGCCCCAGGGTCAGGGGTTCTGGTGTTAGGGCGGGGCTCTATTGATTACATAGTGAAAATACATGAATTCTTTGAAAATCTTCTTCTCTGTTCCTGGGTATTAAATAAACAAATTAAGTTTATAGTGATAATAAGCAAGTGTGCCTCTACCAAAATTGTGAATTTTATGGCCCCGGGTCAGGGGTTCTTGTTTAAGGGGGGGGGGGGGGGCTCTAATGATTACATGTATATAGGGAAATGCATGAATTCTTTGAACATCTTATCCTTTGCCCCTGGTTAATATGCTAATGATCTTATTACATATTTAAGGCCAGGATTTATTTTTTTGAGTTTTTCAAACCCTTCGCTCAAGGTTTTGAATGTTCAGAAAAAAAAACATTTTTTTTCTATCCGATGTCAAATTTGAGTCGGGATCGAGATTTCAAATTTACGAACTCGCACTTCCGGTTTTACTTTTAGGATGAAACGGCGGGTAGGAAAATAAAGCTAGATCTGAGAAGAGCTTGGTTTAGTGTAAAATTCATCGATAAGAGTGCCATTCAAAACGTTTCACCTGTTCAAAAGACAAATAAAATGCTGACGACTTTGTTGCACAATGACATGATGGTGAGATAATTATGTATTCGTTTCAAAAGTTACTGTAAATTATTTTCCTCCCCCAGGTTTTTAACTGCCCGTGGTAGCTATTGCATATTGCCAGGGACATTGTTTAGGTCTCTATTATAGCTTACAGTCTAAGCATCATTCCTCAGAAAAGGGTTGCTTATGCATCAGGTGTAATGAATAAAACTATGGGAGAAGTGAATTCAAATTTGAGGAAGAAATAAACAATATCCTGAAGAAATAAAAAAATAAATCAACTATTAAAAGGTAAGAATATACAAATATATACAGGCATGTAGTATCATTTGTATCAGCCAGAAAAATTATTTTACACTTAATTGAAAAAATATGTTGACCCTACTCCCCAATACTCCCTGTCTGTTTTATGATAGGAATTATAATTTTAGGCATCAAGTAAATTTTAGAACAATGTCTACACATTCATATAACACATATTTAAAAAAAATGAAGATATATTGAAATATATTTTGATCAACATCACAAAATTTATATACCGGTAACAGGCCCAAACTGGCAGATGATGAAATAAGCAATTAAATGTTCTACTTTCCTATTTGTAAGCATTATGTGTCCAGTGGTAAGGAGCCTATTAGGAAAGCATAAAAAAAAGAATGTACCAATGTTAATAATTGATTTATCAAAAAAAAATTTATTTCCTTCTCCTTCGGGACTTTTTTATTCTCATGTTCATAACTAAACCTAAACATTAAAAAAAATGCTGGCCTTATAATGAAGAAAGGAGCCTCTTTCAAAATAGATAATTTCTCAGGGCTGCGGGGTCAGGGGTACCAGGGGGGTACTTTGACTAAAAATGAATTAATGCTTTGAAATCTGCCCTTTGATAAGCAATGGTGCCTCTTTCAAAATTTGTGAATTTCATGGATTAAAACACAAACCAAATATAATCACTGGAAAGTTGTTACATGATACTCAGGTGACCTATAAGGCCCGAGGGCCTCTTGTCTTATTTCTATGAACGTTGTTAATTTGGATACCAAAATAGAATGTACCTAAAAATATTTGTCGTTGGTTTCTTTGTAAAAAAAAAAATTCATTTGCCAAACCACTCAAAATAAAATACCCCGTTTGCAAATGTAAACCTACTACGAAAAGAAACATAAAACGTGCAAGTTTTGTTACATGTATGTATATAACATGTACATATACGTGTAAGCTATAGAAAATCCATTCCAGTAAGAATACAGTCTTACCAGAAATATTTGGGTTGAAAAATATGTGATGCCCATTCAAATATATTAATTTTTGTCTTGACTTAACTTTAAAAAAAATTATCTTTACAGCCACTCATGAAGAACGATTCACAGAGATCCCAAAGTTCTGATGACGTCAACAGCAATTTATGGAAAGGGATGAGGAATATTGCGTTTACGTTAATGGAGAATGCGTCACAGGACGCAGAGGAAGTGGACGCTGCAGCATCCGTTGACGTCACGGAAGGCGTCGATTGTAAACTAGGACGCATACAAATAGGATTAAGTTACGATTTTCAGTCTTTAACATTAACTTTAAAAGTGATTCAAGCGAAAGACTTAGTGGCAAAGGATTTTACGGGAACAAGTGACCCTTACGTGAAAATTTTACTTTTACCTGATAAAAGACACAAGTTAGTGACAAAAGTGAAGAAAAAAAACCTTAACCCACGCTGGAATGAGAGTTTTCTGTTCGAAGGTTTGTAACATATACATTTCTGTACATATATATAAGACAGTGACACGTGGCATACCTGAAAACCAGAGATTTCATCTAATTATTTTTATAACAACCAATGTTTTATTCTTATATATTTATATATATAAGAAAAATCGAAATAACTTTAATTCTTTACATTCACACTAAAATTATTATTACATCACATTATTGAGTTAAAAAAAAACGTCTCGAGGTCAGCAAGAAACAGTAGTTATATGTTCAGATTATTAGAAAAATTTCTTTTGCAGTATTATTAGTTGAGGAATCATAAATGTTGCATTATCAGGATTATCTGGCTTACATGTAATTATTCCTACATTTTTTTTTATTTTATGATTTTCTTTGTAGGTTGGCCTCATAACAAATTGTTAGAGAAGACAATATATCTACAAGTTATAGACTATGACCGGTTTAGTCGTGATGATCCTATCGGTGAAACTTACATTCCTCTTAATGAAGTAGATCTCTCACAGTCTCCCATCATGTGGCGGTACCTTCAGCCATGCAAGGACAGCAGGGTAAAAATAACTCACCAATTTAAAAGTCGAATTAAAACAGGATGTGTTAGTGAAACACTGATGCCCCTGTATGGCAAAAAAAAAAACTTTTCTTAAATGCAAATTTAATTAACTGGTACTAAAAGTAGGGTATTCTCACTGGAAAACAATTGTGAAATTTGAAAGTAGGTCAATGTTGAAGGTTTTACAATATTAAGTACCTGGTACAAAAATCGTCAAGGTCAAAAGGTTTAGGTAATATGTATCCAATGAAAGGTCTTGTCACAAATAGAACTTATGTAGAGATGGAAGCCCAAGCCCTATCTGTTCAAAAGTTATGGCCAAGTCAATTTTGTTAAAAAGTAGGTCAAGGTCAAGGGGTCAAAGGATTAAATCTGTGAAGTACAAACCGCTAGCCTTTTAACCTTGACCAATGAGTTTGACCTACTTTAAAAAAGCCACCCTTAGAGATAGTGCTTTCATACTATAAACATTCAAGCCTTGTGACAAGACCTTTCATTTGATTACAAAACCTTTGATCTTTCTCCTTGACCTTGGAGTTTTACCTACTTTGAAAAAATAACCTTGGTTATAGCTTCTGAACGGTAAGGAGTAGGACTTCCATACTCTAAATAAGTATTGTATGTTTGTATGTGGCAAGACCTTTCATTAGATACCAATTACCTTCACCATTTAATTTTGACCTTGCAGATTTTTGTACTTATTTAAATAACTTGAACATTGGCTTTTTTCAAATTTCAATTTTTTTTCTGTGAGAATACCCTACTTTTTGTACCAATTAGAATTTGCATTTAGGGAAACTTTAATATTTGCTATGTTGCCATACGGGGGCATCAGTGTTTCACAAAAACATCTTGTTTTTACCTGCTAAAAGCAGCGTATTTTGCTTCTTTTTCTTAGTTTCCAAATTTCCTCTATGCTTTTAATAAATCAATTAAATTTATCTAAATTAAATGAATATTATGCTTGTAACATCGTTTAACTTCTCATATTAGAATAGTTAAATTACATGTACATGTACAAGGTTCATGTATGTTTTCATACTTTGCTGTTGTATACAGTCGAGTGTACTTAAGAAACATAATTTTTAACTTCTTTTGCAGGGAAAACTGGGAGAAATTCTACTGTCATTAAGTTACCAGCCAGCTGTAGGCAGATTGAATATTATAGTAATGAAATGTAAAGATCTCAAAGCCAAAGACATAACGGGAGCTTCAGGTGAGATTACCTTTAGAAAGGTGTGTAGGTGTCATCAGGTGAGATTACCTTTAGAAAGGTTGGTAGGTGTCATCAGGTGAGATTACCTTTAGACAGGTGTGTAGCATCAGGTGAGATTACCTTTAGAAAGGTGTGAAGGTGTCATCAGGTGAGATTACCTTTAGACAGGTGTGTAGCATCAGGTGAGATTACCTTTAGAAAGGTGTGTAGCATCAAGTGAGATTACCTTTAGAAAGGTATGTAGCATCAGGTAAGGTTACCTTTAGAAAGGTGTATAGGTGTCATCAGGTGAGATTACCTTTAGAAAGGTGTGTAGGTGTCATCAGGTGAGATTATCTATAGAAAGGTGTGTAAATGTCATCAGGTGAGATTACCTTTAGAAAGGTTTGTAGGTGTCATCAGGTTAGATTACCCTAAGACAGGTGTGTAGTATCAGGTGAGATTACCTTTAGAAAGGTGTATAGCATCAGGTGAGGTTACCTTTAGAAAGGTGTGTAGGTGTCATCAGGTGAGATTATCTTTAGAAAGGTGTGTAGGTGTCATCAGGTGAGATTACCTTTAGAAAGGTGTATATGTATTTAAACATTAATTTAATATTTTTATGATTAACCTAGTTATGATATAGAAGTGCAGTTCTTAAAACACCAAAGCATTTCTTACATTATGTAGTTATGATAAATAGCTGTGCAGATGTTTAACACCAATGTTGCATTCTTAGGAAAATATATATACATGTAATTTTCATGATAGATAGTTTTGTAGATCGTATGTTGTAATCTTAATGTACACATGTACATGTAGTTATGACAAATATTTGGTTCTGAATTGCAGTGTTTTATTACTTAAGAGACTCCCGAAAACATTCAACTTCAGGTATTTAGAGAAAGATTAGGAGTAGAAAATTTTAAGGGACCCCCATCCTTTGACCTGCATTTTTAAATTAAAGGAGTAGGTGATGATTTATTTTCAAAGGCTTATATTATATAGCATATTATTTCCACGCAGATGAAAACAGTACCGATTCTGAATTATTTGATTACAAGATTAGATTAAAAATATAGATATTATTCAATTATTTTGACCATTTATGTAATATGTTCGTTTAACTCACTAACTTACTTTACATATTTCTCTTATATATTATAAATTAATTATTATAAGCATCATTTGCAATAAAAATAGGCTCAAATATTTATACCAACTTAGACATCTATTTTTTGTATCATCTGTTCTTAATGTTTGCTTGTGCATGATATGTTAAATTGCTCTATTTTACTAGAGAAAAGAATGACTGCACTTAAGCAATGGAAGTTGGAATCCGATGTTTTGCGCAAAATAAAATTACAAAATTCATTCAATTTATGTTCTATAGGAATTAAACAATATCTCAAGAGCAGGTTTTGGTATATTATATAACATGAAAGTATTAAACAATGCCGAGCGACACCAGCTTTTGAGACGGGGGTCTAATAGTTTTGTCTCATTTCTATTGTTATTCATATGCATACCAGTTTTCAACGACTTTGTTTACATCGAGCCGCAACTTGACCATTTTTTTTTATTTGCACAAAATGTGTATTTTAACTTAAACTTATACATATCCAAAGGACAATGTTGGTTAAGTTGCGGCTCATATCTAATTTTAAAAAAATGTCCCCAAACTACGGTCGAGATAACTACTAAATTAACCGGTCACCGTGCATCAACGATTGATATTATAATCACGTACTTAATCACGTGACATTTTGCTGTTCGATACGCTTATGCTTTCATTGAACATTTCATTGTTTGTAAGTCTCTGTTGTGATAGTATCTATTGTACTTCAAACTATGGGATATTTTTGCGCAAATTTTAATAGGGTTTGAAGATAATATACCTCTTATTTAACTTTACTTTACATTAGGGGTGTTTGGAAAGAATTCTGGTATTGACAGTGTCAAAGAAAAACTGTACATGTATCTATCGGCTTATGTCGCCTCTGTATTATGGTCTGTAGAGCAAGACTTCTACCCCATCCCTTATCATCAGAATCATTTCATAATTGTGCACCATAAAATCAACAAGATCTCTCTCTTCTCCATTTAAATTCGTAGTGCGAAAAAAAATCATATGTGCTATTGTTTACATTCCACAACCATGCGGTTTAAATGACTCCGCCTATTTGCGGATACCTTAGATTCGAAAGTGGTCCCGTTCAAATTTCCGGAATTTAAGGCTTTTACATGTTCTTTTCAATTACATTTTCTGTTATCATAGACATATGTATGACAAAAAATTCTATAAATAAATAGCAAAAGCATATACTTGCACATCAATCATAGATTAATTTAGCGATATATTTAAATGTTAAGCTTAAAATGGGTAGCCGAAAAGGTTCCATCTCTCATAGCTTAAGTACAGTCATTCTTTTATCTAAAAGGATTAGCCGTCCCAAAAGTCTTTGCTTAAAAAGTTGTACGTGTTGCCATAAGTTTTTACAAACAATTGTTATCAATTTACATTTATACCCAATAAAAGAAACCCTTTGCAAGATTGATTTTATAAGTGTAATGAAAAAACATATATGAAGTTACAGTAAGCATTAAGAATTGATAAATGTGTGTTTTTTTTAATTCATTGAATCAGCCATTCAATTTTTTAAATAAATGTTGCTGAGGTCTCAATTTTTGATTTTTTAAGAATTTTCTTTATGGAACTTCAAATGTAAGATGTTTTCAAGATATTCACAATTCAAACAGAGCCAAGAAATAATAAATATTTCGTCAAGTATCAGACTAATTTATGTAAACCAGTTTTACGGTAATGTTCTCTTCTAAAATTGTACAATCTTTAAGGCTAATATTAACATACACCTTGGTTTATATGCATGTATGTTTAACGTCATTAAGACATACACAACCAACATTAGTAAATATTTTAGCAATCATTTAGTATATTCAATTTATATTCAATAAAAATGGGTTTTAAATACCTTATTACTTTGTTCATATTGCATTGTGTAGCTAAGATGTTTTTGTTTTTAAAATTAAATTAAACGCTTTGATATATTGGATCAATTAATCACAATATCCATTTACAAAACAACATCAAAGTTTCTTCGTAAAAATTAAGGACATTTCTTTGTAAAAATTAAGGACATTTACATCATGTTCATGCTGTTACACGCCATAATTACTACTCCGTTGCTTAATAGTTGAAAGGAATGCATCCTAAACCCTTAGTTCAAATTCATAAGACATTTTTCATTTCTTTTAATTTTGCATATTTAAATGTTCCTTAACCCTTACTTTGTTCTAATAAAAATGTTTAGCGGTTCTTGATTTTCAGGAATGGGAAGTTAAGGACAAATGATACAAACAAATTTTTGTAAAAAAAATTGAAAATAACAACTAGGGTCATGCTTAATGAGTAAAATCAATAAGTTTAACAGCATATTTTGGAATTTTTATTCCTAATCTAACAAAAATCGGATTTGAAGAGAATAAAATACTTGTATAGATTAATAAGGATGGTTTCATGGAGGCAGAATTTTGAGCATCACAGAAGGTTTAAAAGTTCTTTATATTCTAGAAATTCATTTCTTACATCATTTTCAATGAAATAAGACCAAAAAATATATACAGTCCAGACATCCATTTTTTGTTTGTATCATCTGTCCTTAATGTTAAAAAACAAAACAGAAATTATTCATCCAATTGAAAATTATCTTTCTTAAAAGGGTATCAATGAAACTTAAAACACCTTTATTTACTGCATTATGCAAAACTAGCACTATAACTACAATGCAATCAAACATTTTCAATAATTTTTTATCTTAATTTTTTCACTTCTAACCATCATTATGCCTTGGTAAGCTCCATACCCCCCAAAATAGATGTGAGAACTTTGAACCTTTTTCCTTTTTTACTTGCAGATCCCTATGTCAAGCTCTGGTTAAAATTCGGAAACAACCGTATAGAGAAAAAGAAAACATCAATTAAGATGCGAACTCTAAACCCAGTATACAATGAGTCGTTCTTTTTTGAAATTCCTTGGGAAAAAATCCGGGAAGCTGCAATAGAAGTAATTGTGATGGACTTTGATAAAGTGGGAAGGAACGAAATGATTGGAAAAATTGTGTTAAGCAGCAAGAGTGGTCCCTTGGAGACAAGACATTGGAACGACATGATAACAAAGCCTCGCCAACAAGTCGCTCAGTGGCATTTACTTAAAGACTGACAAAGGCTAAGGTTTAGAATATTATAAATTCTTTGTTTAACAAAATAACATTGTGTTTTGTTGATAGAATATTTAACATTGCAAATTTTTTAAGATATTGTCATTTTATATGATTAGTGATCTGTAAAATTTGATTTTAAGATCTCACAAGATGGGTTGCAAAGATGGCGACGTTGTCAAAGATGATGCGATAAATAATGCAATCTTTCATCAATGTGTTTCATTTTATTGTTTTGAAAAGTATATTTAATAAATTCTTGAACTCCATTTTGTCATAGAAATGTGCACAGATGAAATTCTATAGATTAATGAAGCAATGTGAGTTTAAACTTCCTTTAAAGCATAACATTAAGTCGGCCGGGGATAAAATTTCATTGATTTGATATCTTAGATAGTTTTGTGGAGATTCAATTTCTTTGTTTTTAAACTAAACATTTTCTGTATAATTATATACATTCATATTGAATTTCTTGTCGGACTTAATTTACTCATAAATTTTTAACAGAAAAAAACAACAAATTTTATCCCCTACGTATATTCTGCTTAACCTAACAACACATTTTGTAAAATCAGCAGACACTTGGAAGGTCAGTCAACCTTTTACAATCTGGAAAATAAATCTAGAGTTATCCCTCTTTAAACGCAACTCTATGCATTTATATCTATAGACACGGGCACTGAAAGATAATTTTGATATAGAATACAGAGCCTTGCCGCTAGGGTTCGATGTAAGGAACGATAACTCATCATTAGCGGAACTAGCTTGTTTACGTTCCCAATTTCTTTGAACAGGTAGAGTGAAGACATATACTCCTCATATGTGAAGTCAACCGATTGTATACAAAATAATGTAAGAAACCGTTTTGTGTACCAACTGAAGCAGTTTATGTCTTTTCTATAAAATATAACTCATAAATCGGCATTTTGATCTTCACATGTACAGTTGCGTTACCTGTAGTTAAAATACAACTTCGTGCAAATCAATTTTAAAGATTTAATTTAAGGTATGTAGAGATTATTATATTTTGAGAATTTCACGCAAATGTAAATTTATCTGTTTTTTGACCATATTTGCAACTGAAAAAGCAGAAAGGCGTAGAGTACATGCATGTGCAGGTATAAATAACAAATGATAGAACCCTCTTTTTAAAAAGGAAATACTAATGTTTTGAACTGTATGTTTTTCAAATGTGCTGACTTTTACAATTTACTTGCAATAGGCCCATATCAATCAACCTTGCAGTAATTTCATTGGATTTAATCTCAAACCTAGGATAAAGTCATGTGAGTTCTTCTGTGAACAGTCCTCTGTGGTTCTATATAATTACAATATTTTATAAGTAGTTCCATCGTCCTAGCAAATTGTTAAGTCTAAGAAATAAGTAAATTTATAGTTAACAAAAACGTGTACATGTTAAATTGTGCTTGTTCTTTGCTTGTATAACATCCTAAAGGTGATGATAATCAAAGAGTTTTCAATCTTAAAGGCAAACGAGTAATTGTTTAATCAAAATTAAACATTTTGAAGAACTTTGTTATACACTGTAATGCATAATTTATTTAACTTGACTATCAATTTTAACATAGAAGTTTCAATTACACGTAACAGTATTTTTAAAAGTGAAGAGCATTAATTTTGTGACGTACACATAAAAATAAAGCATATATTATATCTTTCTAACAAATGCTATGACATGCAAAATACATAAAATAGAAAAAAAAATGAAATATATTGTAAACATTCTAGGCATTGTTTCTTCCGAATTTAAAGAAAGACAAAATACAATACGCATAACATAAAAACAGGTTTAAGTCAGCTCAGCTTTGATTATTCAAATTAATTTTTACATTCAATTTATTAAGACGATGTTGTTTCAAATGACATGAAGATATCATTTCAACATAAGTGTTAGTAGAAAAATAGTTTGAATTAATTCACCGCTTTCAAAATTAACTGTCTAAAATTGCTATAAAATCAACATAATTAAACGCTATTAAGAAGTTTAAATTGACACAACTTATTAAAAAACAGCGACTTTTGACAGTATATTATATTGAAAATCTAACGTGTCCACTAATAGAGACGTCATGCAAAGAGTCAACAACAATCTAATTACACAAGATCAAAAATGTTATCAAATTAAGTTATTATCATATTAAGATCAATTTTTGTCAACCCAAAAGCATCTTCCGAATCCTAGAAACTTATTCAAGCATTGATCTTTTCTAAACAAAACAATTACTGTCCTTAACGGCGTTTTCTGGAAATCAGGTACTGGATTTTAGCGTTATATGTGATATAACGGCGCTAAATGATAGAAATATTCAGCGTCGCAATGCTGTAAAACGCTGAATGTCATAAATCATTGCATTAATAGTTGACTTGCTTATCTGCTTATTCATTCTTTCGTTAAGTGACAATTTAGCATGTGTGGTCGAAAAGGTCTACGATTAAGGACAGATGATATAAACTAAAAATGGATGCTTGGATTGGTACATATTTTTTGACCTAATTTCATTGCAAATGGTGCAAATAATAAATAAAATAACCTTCCAGAAATATAACTGTAGAAAGGATTATCTACAATGAAGATATCTTTAGAAATTTCAAAACGTTATGAAAATTCATGTAAACTGTTCCTAGAACGAAGGCTGCGCTATTGGAGTAAAATAATACACGAATTTCTTATTTCAGTTTGACATCGTGAATTGTTTCATTTCAGATATCAATGAGTCTCCTCTCTGAACAAGGATGCATCCCGTTTTGAATCATTGATGTTTGTGAAATATATCCGTTTCTCACGAACCTGTAGAAGCAACAGTAAAATAAACTCTATCTTCTCAGAGAAACATAAAATATATATTCCATATTTTCACAAGTATTTTACTCACCTTATTTCTACATCTTCAAAGCTTGAATTTCTTTTTCCAAAGTTCCATTGCTGAGTCTCATTATTGCCTACACGATGGTAGTAAACAAAATGCAAGTTAATGTCGTTCGACATTCTAGAAACCCTGAACAATACCTATTATTATTTCAACATAAATTCAAATTTCAGTTTAGTGTAAGGATATCAAGCTTTAAATGTCTTTTTATTATCATCACTCGATCATTTCCAAGAGCCAAAAGATGACGTACATGTGTGACCGTGTAAAATGAACCCATTTTTGAGTAACAATAATTTCCTTGATAGTGCTTAATTTAACATAATTAGACCTTGACCGCAAGACATTTCATGCCACCTGTATACCAAAGTGAAAGTGTTTAATTATATTAATTATGTCAATTATGTCCTTCTGCCTTGAGTAACTCTCGATTGTAATTTTTACATCATCATTGTTATAAATTGGTTGTTTAATACAATGATCTTCAGTTGGAAACTGGACATTGCACTGTCCACGCCGACATCAAGATCGTGTAGTAAACACCAAGTTTTGGACCGTTAATAAATTATTAAACGAAGTACCGACTTGTGTATTTCTATCGGTAATATTTGGTGGAGAATCCTAAGGGTAAATTACCCAGGGCTACTGCATATACTTTGTAGTAGTTAGATCCCAGTACTCTCATACAGCTAAGCGAGTTTGCCAACCTTCGTACCAGAATTCCCCTAATCATGGACATGTTTCCATTTGTTCCTGCGTGGATGCGACCAGTCCAACCGCGCTTCACCTTGCAACAGTGTGGACGCTGCGGATTAAGACACGGATGGACCGTCTGCAACGCACTGACATCAACTTGTTTCAAGTGTGGAAGAAGAGGACACTATGCCAGGGTGTGTAAAACACGGAACTCCCGTACCATCTGTGCTGTTGTCTCCATACCGACGCGCTCAGTCGAAACACAGACTGAGAAAACGTGTACAGTGCAAAGGAAATCAAAAAGAAAGCAGATTAGAGACCGAGAAAGAATCATCAAATTTCGCAAAAATCGTAAAGAAAATTCCATATTGAGTGAAATGCCATTTTCAACTGTCAGTGTTATTGAAATTCATGGTGAAACTTTGGAGACCCAAGTTAAAAAGTTCAGGGACCAGGCAGCATCTAACAAATACGACGCCCAGTACTATCAGAACAAATGGTTGCGTGAGCGGCAAGTGTCTTTAAAGCGGTTCTTAGAAAAAGACAAGACTATCAAAGAACTCCAGGAAAAACTCTCAGCTGTAGAAAAAGACCTCGAGGAATCGAAAAAGGTGATAAATTACTATCAGATTGACACCAAAAAGACACAAGAGGAGATAAATTCACTCCGCAAATATAAAGAGTTTCATTCCTCGAGGAAAGCAATCTACAGTGGACCGCCCCGTGGAGCCAGGAAGCAGTATCCAAGGACTTCCAATATTGTCAGAAGTGTGCCCGACAACACTAGATCATCTTGGAAACACGAGGACGTGTTTCGGGGGGCAATGGGGTACTGTGACCGTGTAAAATGAACCCATTTTTGAGTAACAATAATTTCCTTTGATAGTGCTTAATTTAACATAATTAGACCTTGACCGCAAGACATTTCATGCCACCTGTATACCAAAGTGAAAGTGTTTGATTATATTAATTATGTCAATTATGTCCTTCTGCCTTGAGTAACTCTCGATTGTAATTTTTACATCATCATTGTTATAAATTGGTTGTTTAATACAATTAATGATCTTCAGTTGGAAACTGGACATTGCACTGTCCACGCCGACATCAAGATCGTGTAGTAAACACCAAGTTTTGGACCGTTAATAAATTATTAAACGAAGTACCGACTTGTGTATTTCTATCGGTAATACATGTACGATGTACTTATAAGCTGAAAATTTATTTATAAAAAGTACGAGAGCTGTCCGGTAAACTCGTACACAATTTGTCTTGCGTGATTTATAATCATCACTGCGTTCTGAAATTATCACTACTCTGTAGTTTTATTCAATGATACACATATTTTTGTCTCCATAAACAACTGAGGAACAAATATGGCACAAACTAGGGATCTCCTTAAGTTTTTTAGTTAGTAAGTTACGGCCAATAATACCGACGTCATTATTTAATTAAAAGGGGAACTGGATCATGAACGACTTCACTAGGAAAACTCGTATTTCGTTTCTATACTAAAGATCTGGTAATGTTTTAAAAGTATTTTTTCTTCTATATTCATTTAAAGTATCTTAAGATGTTAGAACACTATCTTAATCAAACTGAACTGCTCTCCAGTGCCCCGTAACCTTATTAAACGTCAAAATGTTTCGTCTGTTATGTTTACAATTTTCCAATTTCAAATGCTCTTGAAACTGCGAAAAATTAACCAAATGCCATAATTTTTTTTTTATCAAGACTGCAAAATAAATTGTGGAATCGAATAAGGATAATGTTTACCCCAATCTTGTCTATTTAATCCTTTTATTTAGAAGCAATGATCATGTCTTCTTTACCAAAACCATCGTTTTTAACCGTGTGCCGTAGGACAGTACCCGGTGCGCATTCAAGCTTAATAAACTCTTCACTTTTGTCTACATTGAATCAAAAAAAAAATTATGATGTGCGTCAGTATGATATATAAACATTTACTGTAAATTTCAGCTGAGTGTGTCTATTATTTTTCGAGAAAAACGCTTTGTCCACGATTTTACCGGACAACCCTCGAATATGGAGATAACGTAAAGTATTCAAGCTCAAAAGTCAATTTCACAATAAGATCAAATTTTGAATCAGATGTGTCTGACTCTGTGGTATCTTTCATCATAAGCTCACTGGTTTATATTGTTATATTTTGCTTAAGAGTCTTAAAGTAACTTCCTTCAAAATTTTTTAGGAGGTGAAAATATATAAAAGAAAATGAAAGAAAACCGACATAATTAACAGTGTTTTCTTCTCACAACCATCCATTAAAAGGAATGCTTAAATATAATTGTTTAAATGTATGATTGATTGATTGATTGTATACTGTTTAACGTCCCTCTCCAGAATATTTCTGATATGGAGAAGTCACCATTGTCGGTGAAGGGCTGCAAATTTAGGCCTATCCTCGGCACCTACGGCCTTTGAGCAGGGAGGGATCCTTGTCGTGCCACACCTGCTGTGACACGGGGCCTCTGTTTATACGGTCTCATCCGAATGACCGCCCCATTTAGTCGCCTTTTACAACAAGCTAGGGAGTGATGAGGACCTATTCTTACCCGGATCCCTACGGGTATTAAAATGTATGAAAAAAGATTCAAGAAAATATATGAAATCCTTTTAACAATATGCTTACTAATATTAACTTATAATGTTCAGAGGATACACGTTAGTCGTCGAAAGATTCAATTACGTGTATTTTCAAATTCTCATTCCATACGAAAAGTTAGCATAACCTTTATGATCCAAGTACAAGTTAAACTTGGCGAACATTTCTTCAATGCAAAATATTCACAGGTCAGATCAATACTTACACACTTTAAAACAAATCTTATTTCAAAATCCTAGAGCTCAGGCTCTCTTAAAATATAATATAAAATGTTTTTAATATTTTTTTTTTTAATTTGCAAATACCTTGACCTATTCAATATGATAAAATATAGTTTATTTTGAATAAAATTTGATAAAAACAATAAAATTTATATAATTAACAAGATGAGTTAACCTGAGATAAATCCTTCCAGAAAATATCCAGTTCCTCCTGGTCCATTGTTTTGTCTGTTGGATGTGCAAACTTGTTTCTGTAATATCGTATCCGTTCGACATCATCCGTTTCACTTTTCTTCCCTACCTCTGGTTTGTTCCCCCAGCCTACCAGTGGATCCTGAACATTTGGTCCGTAGTTTCTCAAAAGTTTATACATAATCGTCACGTCAAACGCTGAAGAAGATGGACTAGTTCCATTGGCTGGGGAAAAAATATGATGGAATTTCTTTCACTTTAGTCTTTCAATCATACTTAATTATACAGTTGCCTCATCAATATTTTCAAGATAAAACTATCACATTTTAATGGTAACAATGTCTTCATTGTCTCAATGCAATATTCTTTTTTTAGGCTTCTCATATTTGGCTGTAAAATAACAAGAACTGTGGTAAACCAATTATCATTTTTCCACCTTTTTCAATTGTGTATGAAAAACGTTGCAACGTCAATGTATCTTTATATCCCTTTTTTCGACAGCTCGCAAAACTACTAAAACCATTTTCTTTTATTGTGCTTCGTTGTTGGATGAAAGGAACTGAATGTCGTTTTTTGCACTAACGTTCATATATTTAACAATACAGTGTATTAACTGTTTGCACAAAAAAAAATGATTTAACGGCGTCTTTGTGTCCGACATGTAAGTATATGTTTAAGGACAGATGATACAAACATTTTCTTTCTTTGGAGGAGACTTAATATCATGCCACAAGTTTAGAAAAGTAGATTTTTCTCAGATTGTTTTTTCCAAAGATCTGGCAAATGAAATTGACATGGAAAATGTTATTAATATTTCAATGAAATTACAATTATTACAAAAACACTCAGCAAAGGTTTACAGATAAAAAACAAATTTTAGAATATGTTAAATTGGTTACTTTAGAAAAGTACACCAAGCCAGGTGAATTTTATCAAGAAAAGCAAAATGGTAAAAATTAGCCTATTTGACATTGCTGATTTCTTGTCATTTTGTTTGTCCTCATAAAATTCACCCGACTTCGTATATTTTTCTAAAGTTTATATTGAATTATCCATTTTTCTGTACTTGTGACAGGATATTAAGTATCCTTCAAAGAAAAAAATGTTTGTATCATCTGTCCTTAACTATTAATATAGATTTAAACAAATATACCATCTCCATTTTGCAAATTAAAAATATTCTGATGTAAAGGATGGAAGCATTTTAGGACAACTTCTTTTGCAATTTACATGTATTATCAATAAATAAATATCAAGAAGTTCTTCTTGGAAAAAAATCAGCAAAATTCCAATGAGGGAAGCTTTCGGAGTGAAACCTTTAATAAAGAAGTTCTCGGGTATGGATTTCATTTGTTACTAAATTCAATTTATTTTTTAATGATACATGTACACGCAGTAGGAAATTAAAACATTCATTTCGTAATGTCGTGGGTGAATACAACGAATTTACTAAATTTGCATGATCATGATGAGCATAGTATTTATATCATAAAATACATTATGCTTATTTGCGGAAATGAAGTGAATTTTTTTTATCGTTTTATAAAGAACAAATTATTTACAAGAAAGGTATCAAACTCGAAATATCTCACTGCTTATAATGCTAAACAACATGGCCTCCATTGCATGATGACACAAAAACACAAAAGGCTTATCTATAAGGAATTAAGAATCTTAATAGGAATAATAAATAACGAATATTTTAGTGAAAAAAATATATCAAGTAAAAAGAAACCCCTACCCGGAAATAGAATAGCAAGTTGATCTTTGTTGAATTTGTATTGCCCATGTTCCATATCGACTTTGTTTTTCGTGAATATCGAGACAACGTCTTTTGAAGGGAAAATCTTGTCGAAATAAATTTGAAGCGATTTTCTGGCTATATCTATCAGTTGTGAAAATATGTCGTAATTTTGAGTTGGTAATTTTCCAATGGGTGCATTTGTTGTGCAGTCCTCCGGATTTGCTTTATTGTCAGAATCTGAAAAGATTTAAAAAAAAAAAAAACCAATGTCCTATTATTGGTTCAGGATATATTTTTCCACATGATAACCCCACCCCCACCCCGATCCAACACAAAAATAAATAATAAAATAAAATACACTATGTAGTTTACTATAATTTTTAAGAAAAATCAGATTTTAAATTGTAAATAAGAAAGTATCAAAGGTTTACTACTGTAACAATAAATCGATCATAAATATTATGTAATATGTAATATAATTGTAAAATTTCAATTTTCCCATATTATCAATAATTTTCAATGGGTCAACATCGAGAATAGAGAATATTTAGTACTTTGATTCGGAATTCTTTTCACGATTCAGGGGAGATGTTTCTTTTGAAATGAAACGAATAAGTGAAAACATTTTAAAAAAAATATATATAGAAAAAAATAGAAAAAAATATTTATTGAATTTTCTTTCATTTTTCTTTAAATAGCAGTGTTGTTGACATTTAGGCTACAGTTAAGCGTTCATTTGAAGTAGAAATTCTTAACAAATATGAAGTAAATTTTTTTTGTAGTATCGATCCGTTTCTTGTTGTTTTTAAGACTGGATTTTTCTATGACAGGTATAATTTCTTTTTTCCTAATTTATTAAAGGGGAGGAAAATGTGTTTTTTGCTTGTGTTTAATGTTTTTAATGATAAAAATATCATTGTCAAACCTTTCACTTTTACTCAGAGGTATATTACAGTATGCATCTCTGTTGAAAATGTAAAATAAAAATCAACATTTTTTCTACAACGTTTAAAACTGCATCAAGGATCTTGATCTGTTAACCATGTTAATATAACGTATTTGAAATAGAAAGGATTTAAAGTAATTTTACTAAAATGGCATAAATTAGGAAGGTCCTTAAAAAGAACATAACTTCTAATCAATTCTTATACAACTAGCTTTTGCATTTGATGAACTTTTTAGCATAGTTTTTCTTTATATCACTTAAAAATCTGTATGGATATTTTGAATGCTCAAGTATAGTAAGTCAATTTCCCATAGCAGAAATGCCTATATCATACTCATTCTTTATAGGTTCTAGAGAAATATATTTTTCTTTATTAAAAATGATTCAATGAGGAATTACTTTAAGGTATTTTTTAATTTTTTTTACCATATTTCCAAAAGAGAAGCAGTTTTTTTTCTTTAATGATATGATGATTCTTCAGTCCATGGTTGGGACAACTAAATTCTCCTCTACCAATCAACTCTTTCTCTGAAATGAAGCAAAGAGCATCTTCTTCTATTACGTTTTGCTTTGAACACTGATAACCGATCTCATACAGTGTTTTTTTGTGGAAGTTTTTCGTCATCTGCTCAAGGACATCTTCCATCGTTTTCTTTATTTTCATAGTAATTTCTCCACTGAGCTGCCTATTTCCCTGTCTAAATATTTGAACCTGTATCGCTGATGTAGTAACAGCTACACCTATCATGTGTTCTTCAAACAAAAATAAAGCGATGTTTTTAAACAAACACTTCTGTCCATTGTCTTCAATAACAGTCCACTCTGTGTTGACTATACAGGCTACTATGAGACGAAAATAAAAGAAATATGGCAGGAACCGGAAATTGAAAACTAAAACAGATGTTTTCTGTTCCAACGTTGTTATATAATCTTTCAAATTCTCTTCAAAGTCTAATTTGTTCATGCAAGGGACATAATGCGCTTTTGGACCCTTAGCAAGCAAGCCCAATCGTTGCATATACTTCAAGGTAGAGTTACATTTTCTTGGTACCATGTCTTTTTTCTTCCAAATCCCTGTTAATAGCTTTGTAGATAAATAGCCACTTTCAAAAAAGTTTTTCCAATCTTTGTCATTCTCAACAAGGTCCCTGGCATGCTTTGGATCTGTTATAATATATTTAAAACAGTCAACAAACCATTGCACATCTGTTATTGCGCTAGCTTTTAAGTGATCTTCGTTGTAATACAGAATTGCCCCAATATCATGATAAAACATTAGCACATCAAATGTCTCATTTCCTTTTCCAAATTTTTTAATTGAAACTTGTTTTCTAAAATCTGTGACTGAAATGATTTTTTTCCCATTTTGCTTGTTTTGTCTTAAAATTACTTCACAATATGCCCAATCCTTCGGAATGTTCTCTCTCCAACGATCTTCCAAAGCGATGGAAGCAATGCATTCTACTATATCGGTAAGTTTATCCAATGGTTCGTTATCATCCTTAGGAAACCCAATGTGGAAGCAGTGCTCTCGGTCAAGATGTTTTCTCAGATCAGGCTCATACTTCAGGAGCTCCAGTAAATCATCATAAATTGATCTGTTAACCTTGGAAGAAGGAGATAAATGTCCACTCATATTTACTATGCCTCTTACAATCAACTTTTTGATCTGATGCAAATACTTAGAAATCAAACGACTTTTTAAAAATTTAGACACACTTAATTCTTTTTATGAAAATAAAAACGAAACTTTTAGTTGTTAATTTTCAACTTAAACGAAACAACTGGTTCTAGTACAATTTATTTTGAAACATTTTATCATTGACAGGTACCATATCTTGCACTTCGTCAGAATGGGTTGCTATGGTAACAACTGGAGTGTCATCTTCGCAGTAGGTATGGATAGATTTCAACCAAAAAAGGACATATTCTGAATTTAAAAAATACTAATAAAGTGATCAATTAATGAAATATGTATATATAATAAAATTTAGTTCTGACCTGTCAGAAATGAATGTTTTACATGTATTTGTTTGTTTATATGTGGTTTAACGTCCCTCTCAAAGAATTTTCACTCACATGGAGACCTCATTACTTGCCAGCGGAGGACTCCAAATTTTGTCGTATACTTGGCATTTACAGATATTGAGCTGTGAGGGATCTTTTTCGTGCCAGCGCCTACTGCGACACGGGACCTCAGTTTATACAGTCTCATCCAAAGGACCCGTCTTTGTGTCCCACAGTGAGATTCAAACCGGTGACATAAGGACGAACTCCTTACTTCGAGACTCTTGAGCAGACGATATAACCCCTGCACCAAAACCACTGCAATCATAAATAAATGAATACCCGGGCCTACATATGCAAAAAAAGAAATTTCTGTCTGTATCAAATTCCTGTTTTGTTTCCATCGCCATTCAAATCTATTACAAGAGGCCCACTGGCCTTATAGGTCACCAGAGTATCATGTAACAACTTTCCAGCGATTGTATTTGGCTCGTGTTTAAATCCAAAAGCCATGAAATTCACAAGTTTTGAAGGAGGCACCATTGCTTATCAAAGGGCAGATTTCAAGAAGGATATGAAAAGCATTAATTTATTTTTAGTCAAAATACCCCCCTGGTACCCCTGACCCAGCGGCCCTGTAATTATCTCTTTTGAAAGAGGCCCCTTTCTTCATTATAAGGCCAGCATTTTTTTTATGTTTAGGTTTAGTTATGAACATGAGAATAAAAAATGTCCAGAAGGAGAAGGAAATAAAAAAAATGATCATTTGTACATTCTTTTTTCATGCTATTCTAATAGCCTCCTTACCACTGGACACGTAATGCTTACAAATAGGAAAGTAGAACATTTAATTGCTCATACAAATGATACTACATGACTGTATATATTTGTATATTCTTGCCTTTTGAAAGTTGATTTTTTTTTTATTTCTTCAGGTTAATGTTTATTTCTTCCTCAAATGGACTTACAAAGTAACTTCTCCCATACTGGCCATAATTTTATTCATTACATCTGATGCATAAGCAACCCTTTTCTGAAGAATGATGCTTAGACTGTAAGCTATAACAGAGACCTAAACAATGTCGCTGGCAATATGCAATAGCTACCACGGGCAGTTTAAAACCTGGAGGAGGATTCGAAAATAATTTACAGACAGATACTTTTGAAACGAATTCATAATTATATCACCAGCATGTCATTGTGCAACAAAGTCGTCAGCATTTTAATTGTCCTTTGAACGGTTGAAACGTTTTGAATGGCACTCGTATCGATGAATTTTACACTAAACCAAGCTATCTTCTCAGATCTAGCTTTATTTACCCGCCGTTTCATCTTAAAACCGGAAGCGCGAGTTCGTGAAGTTGAAATCTCAGTCCCGACTCAAATTTGACATCGGAAAGAAAAAAATTGTCTCATTTTTTTCTGAAAATTTAAAACATTAAGCGAAGGGTTTGTAAAACTGAAAATAGAATAAATCCTGGCCTTAAACATGTATTTAGATCATTAGTATATTAACCAGGAGCAGAGAAGAAGATGTTCAAAGAATTCATGCATTTCACAATGTAATCATTAGAGTCCCACCCTAAAACAAGAACCCCTGACCCTGGGGCCATTAAATTCACAATTTTGGTAGAGACACTCTTGCTCATCAAAGCTATGTACTTAGTTAGTTTATTCAATACCCAGGAGCAAAGAAGAAGATTTTCAAAGAAATAATGCATTTTCACTAGCTACTTATTTAGCCCCGCCCTAGCCTACCACTAGAACCCAACCCCAGGGCCATGAATTTACAATTTTGGTAGAGGACTCATTGCTAATTGCAATCATGCAAACAGTTTGACTGCTTGATCTCAGGTGACCTAAAAATGCATTTCCCCCCAAAATGACAACTAAGTGAAAAGTACGCTTATGTGATGGTTTCGTTTAACTGTTTTTGTTTAAACCACAATTTGAATAAAATTTCACACTGCCTGTAAAGGACTGAAATACTGCTTATCCTCATAATTAAACATCAATAAATGTAATCCATTTTTACATCGGAAACAATAATTGCCAACAAACATTGCTTGTTCAAATGGTGTTTTTACGTATAAAAACACTGTACAGGAAATTAGAGATTTGTAGAGCTTTATTTTGACGTAATTATCATTTAATTTCTATAAAATACTTAGTTCTGATTGGTTTAAAAATTCCTTTGATACCTGCATCAATAAAATCTAGAGTTCGCTTGCACTAAGCAGCCGGAACTACTTTGGCAGTCTCTACATTTATATTTCCCGCTTCCAGTCTACTTCTTGAAGGAATAAGTAAAAACTTTTACTTTATAAATATTTTCCTGAATTTCAAAACTTGTCCGTTACGTTCCTGACTTATTTTCTACTTTCGTTTCTTTTTGAATTATTCCCCTTTGCAAAACAAATCAAATCGTCTGCATAACGACAATACAGTTTTGGGAAAGAAGGAAAGAAATCGGCATACTTTTGTTAAATGTTTGGATTTGAGATATCTGGTATGAACAATAGACTTCTGAAGAAACGTTTTTTTATGCTACCAAAGAGAGGAAAACCGTTAGGCCCCTCATCTGTTAAAATCTCAGGAAACGAATGATCGAGAAAAAACGACACTGCATTCATGAATGAGGACAGATTCTTTACTATAATCTTAAACAGTCGGCAGCAGACTCTTTCAGGTTTTACAGCATTGACAGGTTGTGATACGTATTTATATGTTCGGTTTGAAATTCAGATGAAAAGATGTGCAAATGAAATCTAAAATTTCTGTGACCTAACGTTAGAACTGTAAGGATAGATTGAGTAGCTTCCCTTTACATATACGAACTTGGATAACTTACCGGGTAAAATATACCGAGAGGGATAACACAACGGGTAAGTTTTTTGTGTTAAAGAACTGTAAATTATTTCAGAGAATGTTGGTAATGACACGAAAATATTTGAGAACGTTTCTTCATTTGAGCCATTTTGAATTTCATCAATGTTAACGTTGTTACTAGTATGATGTATTCGTGCACACTGTTTTAGATGCGTAAATCTAATAGGTTAGGTGAAAGAAAGTTTCATTTTATTAATTTAAAATCATAATTAAATGATAAGAAATGAATGTAATATTTTTTCCTTTGATCGATGTATCAAAGAAAAATATGGACGGAAAACTTTTTCATCAATGCGCTACGCGCATTGATGAAGTTTTCCGTCCAAATTTTTCTTTGATACATCGATCAAAGGAAAAAATATTACATCCATTTCTTAAATAAATAAGTAGCTATAAAATACATGTACTGACAAAGATTTGTTTGAATGTGAATATGAAACTATTACTGATATCAAACTCGTCTGATAATGAAGTCATTTGATGACATGAAATAAATTAATTAAAAGAATTAATGCGTTACGAATTCCTTTTATTGTATGATGAATTTTGAGTTTTGAGTTTTATTCATAATATTTTACATTTGATATACATGATTGTCATGATTGTCTGATCATGATTAGGCATGTTTATAGAGACTGCCCCGTCCGTATCTATATGAATTGAATTGGGCACTAAAAATTACAGATATGTAATTGTTATACCTTAAAAAATATGTTCCCATACGATTTATGTATACAAAAAGTCTAAAATTTATAAATATTTTGTTAAGGGGGCATAAAAAATCAAAGTTGTACCTCTGAGTTAGATACTGGACCGCTTACGTCACAGAATTCACAGAATTATAGGTGGAGCTTAATCTCATATTTAATCGTTGGTATTAAAAAATGATGGACCTTATGTAACATTACGGAAGACAGTACAAGATACATGTACATGAAAAACAAATGAAAGGTATCACAAAACATTTATTGATTATATTCTCGTTCAAAAAATGCGTTTTGTTGGACTAAAGAACCAAACTGATTGCCTGAGGCCGAAGGCAGCCAGTTTCGTTCTTTGGTCCGAAAAAACGTATTTTGCCCGTTAATATAATCAATAAATGTGTAATATTGAACGCGGAAATAACGGGGATTGCGAATTTTGTTTTCACACGTTGAAAAAAAATATTGTTAACATTGCATATAATGATTTCAAAATATTCAAATTAAATCAATATTAGACGTACAAAAAAATAGTGTATTGAACGCACACAAAGACATTTACAAAAATTTACACTTACCCCCAAATGTCCAGTCTGCAAACATGGTTCCTTCCTGTTCACACAATGTTTGATCAACTTTTTCATCAAACCTTTTTGACATATCGATCACAAGAAGATAAAAAGCTCTTCTACTGAGATAGACCTGATGACAGGCGTAATACGCACACTGGCCAGCAAAATCTACAACACTTAGTAGGCACTTATTTTCTGTATCAACATCTTCCTCCAGACCTAAAAATTAGCATTTGAAGCACATGATTTCATACAAAAAACATGAATCATATTTTGATCACAATCTTTTTAAAACGTTTTACAAACCTTTTAAACATTTACGATCCCTGTCGATTTCAAATAAGTTGTCATACACCTCCAGCCCTACGGTCGACTTTATTTCTCGTAATTCCTGAATACTTTGTTGCTGCAGTCGCCTAAGAAGTGTAGTTTTTCCAGCTCCCGCACAGCCAACAATCATTGCACGAGCTCTATGCATTGTTTGAGTTCCTTTCTTCGCGCATGCTGCGTATCTAGATCGAGCATCATAGTCCCATTCTAGTACTTCCTTTGGTATGTTAACTGTACAGAAAATAATACAAGTAGTATGCAGTTAGCAATAAAAAAAAAATTCTTTCCACCTTTCTCTCCATGTAAGTGAGAGTACATATGATGTAAGATCTTTTTTTAATTAATGCCACGAAATACAAGTATATTCCAAATTCTATTTCTGATAAACGATGATACATGTATTACAAACATTAGTTGTTGAATCTCTTCTTATTTTGTTCGGCTCTATTCCATATAAAATAAATTTATCCAGTCAATTTCATCAAAAGTAAACAAAAATTTAAGGAGTACAATTTATTGATTCCCTCAAATGTCCCATGGAATTCCAAAACAGATATTTAGTTGACAACAAACACCACATTACTACACTATTTTACCAGTCGACTTGACCAGTGGAAAAAGAAAGGTATAATTGTTTTTCATACATTGCCGTTGTGCTTAATGTATAAAAATAAAATCCAACTTTCCTTATTTTCATGTCTTTATATAAATGCCAATTTTCCTATCCAAGCTACTCTTCACCTTGTATATTTATGTTGTGATAGCTACGATGACTATCAGTGTTTTATGTCTCACAACTATAAATAGGAAGGCGACAATGTTATAAATGTAAACTAAATTTGATCATATTCTTTTCATGATTTTATTTCAGCATTGACGAATCTTCTGTTCTTTTCGCGTGTTTTCAAGTTGATATTTTAATTATTATTTTCTTTACATTTACCAATAAGGCTTCTTTATGAGTACAAATAATGAAATAAATAACTGTAAATCACATAGATTTGTGTTGTAAGATTTTCTAAGTGGGCGGGGGGGATGCGGGGATTTGATTTCGTTGTTAGAGAATGTATAGCAGTAATGCATGTGGATTTATGCATTTCCTAGTGATAATGACTTCGTGGGTCCCTCCATGCCATGTAACAACAAAAATTACCCACCCACCCCTAAAAAAAAATAGTGATTTCACAGTATTAAGCGAGGTTCATGTAATGTGCAGTTTTGAGGATATAGAGCATGCATTTTCTTTTCCTGTAATTATTCTATTAATATTTTACGTGTGATATATTTGTTGATTGTAAATGTTTATAATGACATAAGACAGGAATTCTTAGCATTAAAGTTTCTCAATGATAATGACCACCTTAAACTAAATTTTATCATATTCTTTTCATGATTTTATTTCAGCATTGACGAATCTTCTGTTCTTTTCGCGTGTTTTCAAGTTGATATTTTAATTATTATTTTCTTTACATTTACCAATAAGGCTTCTTTATGAGTACAAAAAATGAAATATATGACAGTAGTGTAAATCACATAGATTTGTGTGTGGTCAGTTTTAAAGTCTTTCAGGCAAAATTTTACAACTTTGTAAAAGGAAAATGCATTTATTAAAAAGCACATTTTAATTTAAAGACTTTCAACATAATAAAATACTTTTATAGGCCTATTCTTTCTCATGGTGTTTTTGTTTGGTAACCAAAAAAATGAGACAGCAAATAGAATATATTTGAATTCTATCATTAAATTGTGTAAAAGATCCCTAAATTGTTGATGAAAATTTTATTTAATTATCAACATGTGGAGGAAACGCTAACGATTGTTAAAAGGACAAAAATCAGAAGAACAAATTTTGCTCTTCATGACTCTTGACCTGTATCAAAATAGCTTTTATATTTATCATTATTAAAAACCTAAGATAATATGTATGAAGAATATCTCTTGAAATAATGTTATATATGTTATCATTCTATACCTTTAAATTATGTTGATATTGTATTGTATGGGGGCAGGAAAATATGTTTAAGTTTAAATTGCATAGTGGGTATTGTTACCAAAAATATTAATAGGCATTTAAACTGCCGCTAGGATAGACTGGCCTGCCTGTCTGATTTGCGAAAGAAAGGGAATACCAGTCTGCAGCTAGGATTCAATGTTATGAACGATAACTCATACCCAAAACTTGTTTAGAGCAGGTCTGGGGTATTCTAATTGTTATTCATCAAGTCAGTTTTTAGCGTTTACCATGTCTTTCTTTGATGTCAGTAAAATCCATTGGTTTTAAAATTTAGCTCTAATGTAAAACTTATTTACCGTGCACCTGAGGACACTATTCAATTACATATAAGTAAAATTATTAATTAAAATATAAAGTGAAATCTACCCCTTTCTATATTTGAATCTGATTATTTTTTATTCTCGGTCGTTATTCTTCGTGCTAAGTACATGTAATACAAATAAGGTAATTAATTGTTGCATTTACTAGTAGAAAAATATACATTCATATAGGAAGCGAAAATGCGCATTCTACAAGTTTGACATAAGTCACATTATATTGTCTTCTTCATTACAATCGTCGAAGAGAGTAAAAAAATTTTGAATAATGTCTGTTCCTCATTAATTGATCCTGTTATTTCAAGGCGAATAAAGGCAAATTCCTCATTTTGGTTAACATATTTGTGTACAAATCAATGTAAGGAACTCTTTTGTGTACATTATAAAACAAAATGAAGCAGCCTATGTATGATTCGTATCAATGATAACTCAGAAATCGGCACAATGTTGGTCATTTTTCTGAGTTGAGTTACCTGTCCTGAAAATACAACACGTTACAAGTCAATTATTAATAGTTAAACATTCCAATGATATAACTAAAGGAAATACATAAGTTATAATCTTTATTTTGTACCTATTCATCAATCTATAAATGTTTTACCATATACTGTATGCAATTCGACAAATTAGTTGAAAGGCTTAATATTATCTATTAATAAATTAAGTAATAAGATACTGATATTTTTCTTGAATCGTAGCAGGCATGCTCATGAGCACATGTAATAAGAACTTCCTTTTTGGACTCTCCTTTAGTAGGAAGGGTCTTTTTTTTTTAGAAGAAAAAAGGTTTTAAAAGATATTCACTTATTTGTCCATTGATCCCATATACCTCAATAAACAGCAAGCCATACCTAAAAACAAGGTTGTCGAAAATGCTATATAATATTAAGAGAAATATAAATGATGTGACATAAACATTCTCAAATACTGAGTACACTTACTTTAAAATCATTGTAATTTGTAACAAGCAAATTGAATTGTGGCCCCCCGCTTTCGGTGTCTTTGTCAGTGAGATGTTATTTTTATGACATATTGTGTTTAATGTGAACTGCCTATCATATGTTATTTATTTAGAAATCATCACTGAACTCCACGGTCAAGGTCAAAGCGTTAAATTCTTGGTATCAAATGAAAAGTTTCCTCAGAAGGATTAAATATGTGAGGTATGAACGCCCTAGCCCTTACATTTAAAAGTTATGGTCAGGGTTAAAGTTTTTTTTTTTATACCGTATATACTCGCCTATAAGTAGGTCCGCCTATAAATTAAGTTGGTTGCATTTTTTTTAGGTTATTTTGGAGGGATTTGCCATTTACCCGATTATAAATCGCTGCAATTTTTTTTTTTTCCCAGAATCAGATGAAAATTTCTAATAAATGCTCTGATGTTTTCCTCTGATTTCAATTGATATTTTAAGAAATCTCAACTTTAAGTCATAAAAAAATAAATATTGCCCTCTGAAGATTAAAAATAAAATAAAATTATTAAATACATATACATGTATATAAAATACATATAATTTATGTATAATCTTATAATACATAATGATATAATGTATCCATACTTTGTACAACGATAGCTTTTAAAAATGTTTATAGAATACTACGATTCGCCATCGAGAAAAATACCTGCCCAGGTCTTTTATGACTCGCCTATAAGTCGGACACATATTTTTGACTAAAATTTAACTCCCAAAATACCGACTTATAGGCAAATATATAAGGTAAGTACTAAAAATCTCCAAGGTCAATGTGAAAAGTTCAAGGTTTTTGATATCAAATGAAATGTCTTGCCACAAAGAATGCATATGTGAAATATGAAAGTTCTAGTATCTACTTTTCAAAAGTTGTGGCCAAGGTCAAAGTTTATGAAAAGTAGGTCAAACTCCAAGGTGAAGTTCAAAGGTTCAAATATAAAGTTCTTGTTATCCAATGAATGGTCCTCTCACAAGAATTTCATATACATGTGTGAAGTATGAAAACCCTGGCCCTTACCGTTCAAGTTATGGTCAAGGTTAAAGTTTTTCATAATTACGGAAATCTCAAAGGTCGAGGTTAATAGGCCAAAGTTGTTCAAATTCAATTCTAGATGCTGTCATGAGACAGTAATACCCGCACTATAGTGTTTGCCTCTAAATACACGCTCCTACATATTGGGCAACTTTCCAAGGAAATAGTCAAAATAATTCTATAATTTACATGTATTAATCAAATTGATTATGAAATTCTCAGACCCTGTGACCTATAACTCAGAACCTCTTATATTTATTTTATACATGCTTAATTCATTATATACCAGTCTGAATTTTAGGGGGGAGGGGGGTCAGGACCCCCCTGGAATTTACAAGGTTAAAAAATGTATACACTAAAACAAGGAAAAAGTTACAATGGACCCCCTTGGAAAATGCAGATCCCCCCCTGGTAAACACGAATATGTGTAAAGTAGGTATGAAAAGTTAAACATTTGCGGCAATAGAAGTCACCACTACCCCCACCCCACCTCCACGATATAGGTTTTTGACATTTGGGTGAGATTTACTTTAGGTTTTTTTTTATTGTCAATTTCTGGGATAGGATTTTTTTTGACTGAGGTGGACCCCCCCCCCCCCGGAAAAAAAAATTCTGGATCCGCGTCTGAGATTAGATTTTGATATATGTTTTGCTCATAATAGGACCTTTTTAAATTTACTCCCCCCCCCCCCCTCGACACCACAATCACACAGCACATACTTTTTGGAATAGGATAGATGGAAAAGGTTTGTTAAAATTTAATATCGTTTGTAATGTATTAATTTAAAATTTGTTCTTGTACTATACATGTGAACATGTGAATTTCTACATTACATCACGTTGCGTCACCCATTATGATATTTATAGATTAAACACCATTTGGCACACCTCGGCCGATTCCCACTTCATCTGATAAGGTGACGGAATCAACGAAAGTTCGCCAAAATGGCACATGGTTGCAGTCTGGTGTGCATTGGATTAATTCTTTTTGTGTTATAATTGGATTTATATTTCATGAAGTTTACGAGACACATGGAGTCGGTAAGTAGAGATCAACGATTAAGTTAAAGTTTAAAAAGGGTCAAAGATCATCCCATGCCACACTAGACGAATTTCATATTGTGAAGTTATCTCCCGTTGTCGATGTGACATTCAGTTACTGCCAATACTGGTGCGGATCCAGAATTTTTTTTCGGGAGTAGGGAGGGGTTCACATCTCAGTCAAAAAATTCTAGCCCAGAATTTCGTGACAAGCAGGAGAAAAAAAATGAAAACAAATAAACAAATAAAGAAACAATGATTGTGAGGTCAATGTTTTCTAAGTTTATAGGGAGAGGATGTCAAGAGTCATTTTTTACTTGCTACAGTATATAGTCTTGTTTAAATAACAAAGCAAATGCCAGATGGGGGGGGGGGGGATTCCAATCTTCCTACCCACTTCCTGTCCCTGAAATAACAATCTATTTTGTGATTCCAGTTTAATAGTATTTTTTTTCCATTTGACTAATTATTATACATTATTTTTTTTCTTGTGTTTATACTATGTCTGTCTATATGTCTGCAAAAATTAAATCCTAGCTAGCTTGCCCATAAGTTTTAAGTGGGATGGGCTATACATATAGCTTCCACATTTTATAGGTTTATTTCTAGTGACAATTTTATAAGACCTTTTATTTGGGTACCAATTTAATTTTTACCTCTGATCGCTTAACATGGGATACACATTTTTACAAGAAAAATACCAAACTTTAAACTCTGCCTAATTTTTGATCAGTAGGTGCTAGGGCTTTCATACTTATCATGACATATTGTATTCATTTTGAACTGTCAACAGGTATAAATATGTTTGACCTTGACCCTAGAGTTTGAACCACTTAAAAATAATTAACCTTGGCAATTAACTTTTGAACAGGAATTACTAGAGATTTCTTTATTTAGCATGTGCATTCCTTGTGACAAGACTTTCTTCTGATACTAACAATTTGAACCCTTGACCTTTGAGTTTGACATATATTTGAGAAACTTCAACCTTCGCCATAGGCTTCCATACTGGGACATCAGTGTTTCACAAACACATCTTTTCTTCATTATTATTTGGTGGTGTCTCCATATGAGGGAAGATGTATTCACAACAAACAAACAAATTACTAAAGAAAATATTAAACATAAATATGTTGGTCATGCATATCTCTGCAGGAAAAAAAACAGCTTTTCAAATATTCCAACCATATTGTAACCCTTTCAAAACACTCATTTGAGCTTTTCTTGTTTCCTTAGCATATAATGTCTGTCGTGACGTGTTGTCCATCTGTTTGTCTGAAAACTTTTTACATTTTTAACTTCTCTAGAACCACTGGGCCAATTTTACCCAATTCATATAGAAATATGTACATTTGTATGTCAGACTCAGTCCATCTGTCTCAAAAAATTTAATCTTGGTACCTGTGAGAATGGCATGGTTTTTTTTTTTTTTTTACATGTGACCTAGAAGTTTGACCAACTTGCAAAAAAATTAAGTAACGTTATGAATTCATCATTTTGAAAGAGAAAAGTTAGGGCATTCATATCATAATGCATGTTTATTATTACCTGTGATAAGACCTTTCCAAATACTTTTACACTTTGACCTTGACCTTGAAGCGATCAAGCCTAACCTACTTCTCAAAAATGTTGCATTTGCTTATAACTTTTGATTGAGATGAGATATGACTCTCACATTTGACATTTACATAAATTACTCATAAGAATTCAAGGTGTTTCCCAGCATGCAATGTTTTTTTTTTATGCGCCCGAATTTTTTCGGGGCGCATATTGTTTTTGTCCTGTCTGTTTGTCTGTTTATCTGTTTGTCTGTTTGTCTGTTGTCAAGTTTAACCTTGGCCAAAACTTTTGAACCGTAAGAGATAGAGACTTCATATTTGGTATGCATACTCCTCTAACAAAGTTCTTTCAAATGACATCAAGGTCAATGACCTTGTGACCTTGACTGTGACTTATATGCTAAAAATAGGTTTTTCAAGTGTTGGTCATAACTTTTAAATCATAGGAGATAGGGACTTCATATTTGGTATGCATACTTCACTAAAAAGGTTCTTTCAAACAACACCAAGGTCAATGACCATGTGACTTTGACTGTGACCTTTATACTAAAAATGGCTTTTTCCACTTTTTGCCATAACTTTTGAACCATAGGAGATAGAGACTTCATATTTGGTATGCATACTGCACTGATAAAGTTCCTTCAAATGACATGAAGGTCAATGACCTTGTGACCTTGACTGTGACCTATATGCTAAAAATAGCTTTTTCCACTTTTTGCCATAACTTTTGAACCATAAGAGATAGGGACTTCATATTTAGTATGCATACTCCACTAATAAAGTTCTTTCAATCAACACCAAGGTCAATGACCATGTGACCTTAACTGTGACCTTTATACTGAAAATAGCTTTTTTCTACTTTTTGCCATAACTTTTGAACCATAGGAGATAACAACTTCATTTTTAGTATGCTGAGTAAAATGTAAGAGGAGTTCAGGGAAAACAGGGCTCTTTGTATGAAAAACGTCATTTTTCGACCCCCATTTGACCCCCCGGGGCAAAATCGAAATTCCTAAACCTTACTGCACATTTACATGACACCCCCAACCATCTCCCAAAGGATGATTAAGCTACTGTGAAAAATGTAGGAGGAGTTCAGGGAAGAAGGGGCTTTTTGTATAAAAAAAACATCATTTTTCGACCCCCATTTGATCCCCCGGGGCAAAATCAAAATTCCGAAACCTTACTGCACATTTACATGACACCCCCAACCATCTCCCAAAGGATGATTAAGCTACTGTG